AAAAAAAAAAAAAAAAAAAAAAAACAGCACAGTGTCAGGGACCCAGGCTCCTCTCCTTACCCTGTCATCTTCAGGACATTGCCCTCATCTTCAGATGCATCACCACTCAGTTTATATGAGAAAAAAAGGACATACTCCCCACTTTTATTTTAGGGATATAATTTGGAAGTTACACACATCAGTTCCACTCACATTCCATTAGCCAGAACCAAGTCACCTGACCACGTAGCCACCAAGAGAGCTGGGAAATGTAGTCTTTAGCTACATAACTATGTGGAAGGAGGGAGGACAGATACTTGGGTTGGGGTGGGGAGACACCAGCAGCTTTGAAACCACCAACACTAGAGGTGTCCTGGTCTTCATGCACTCAGTCCTGACCTAGGAGAGCCCCACTTGGCATACATGTGTTTCTGAGAGGGGTCATTTGTAAATGAAGAGAATTTTCACAAACTTAAATGATCACTTCAGAGAAAGTTTCATCTTTGTTTTTGATTGATCGTATTTATTTATACCCCATATTGTTCAAAAATGTATTTAAGAGGCTTTTGTGGGATGGTGAGACTAATACCCTAGCTTAAAGTGTCTTTGCTTCCTGCATTTGATACAAGTCTGGGTTATGATTTAAAGGTACATCCTGAACCCCAACACATTTTTATTCCTCTGAGTAACCAACCCCAAATTTATTTATTTTGTAACATGGGAAATTTATCTACTGGACTTTTGGTAAAAATGTTGTAAACATTCTTCCTGTTTCCAAAACTAAGTGCTGATTTTGTTATTATCCCTATATTCTCTGTGGGGAAGGCTTGCTGGAAAGAAAAATATTGTGAATCTTCCTATGTATTGATAAGTTCTAAGAAAATTAGTCTCAATCCCTTGGAAGTTTATGTTTAAGAAAACAGCACTGTTCCCTATTTTCAGGAAGTAAACCCACTTGGCAAAATCCAAGAGAAAAACAAAAGCTTTACTTAAATAAAATGTTTTGCAATATCTTGGATGGATTGTAGGTTTGTTTGCTTTAGACTATGCAAGAGCAAGTGTGCATGCGCACGTGTGTGTATGTCTCAGTTTGTGAGCTTGCTGTGTAATGTGTGTGTGTGTAATGTGTGTGTGTGTGTGTGCATGTAAGTGTGTGGGTGGAGCTTGGGAACAGTAAGCAAAGCCTGTGGTGGAGCTCTTTTGACTCCATAGATATATTGGCGTTTTGGCATTAGGGAGACAGGGCAAAGGTTTTGCCCCTTCAGCTCAGTCCTTAATCTCTGCTTCTTTTTTTCCTAAAAGAGCATTCCCCTCACCCCCACCACTCCCTAGTTTTCCTTCTCTGGCAGCTAATGAAGCAGCAGCTGAGCCAGCTCTGGTTTTCGGGAAGTCAGATGACCTTTTCCCTCTCGTGGCTGTCTGCCTCTCCCGGCCCCTAAGGTGGACACTATGGACCCACTGATGGTTCTTCTTTGTCTGCTGCCCCTATACCAAGGTAGGAGGCAGGGGAGGAGGATGTCGGGGTCCTGGCTGAGCCAGGCTGGTGCTACCAGGTAGAGTAGCACATAAGAATTGGAAGGTCACTTTTTCTTTCCTTTTCTGCTCTGTGCCTTCCTTCTTTTCCCTTTGCTGTCGCCTTGTCCCCCATGCCTGCAGGCCCGGCAGCTGCTGCTCTCTCTTGCCCTCAGAATGTGAATATCTCCGGTGGCACTTTCACTCTCAGCCATGGCTGGGCCCCTGGGAGTCTCCTCACCTACTCCTGCCCCCAAGGCCTGTACCCATCCCCAGCATCACGGCTATGCAAGAGCAATGGACAGTGGCAGACCCCAAGAGCTACCCGGCTGACTAAGGCTGTCTGCAAACGTGAGGCTCCCTGTAGTCCTTGATCAGGGGACCCCACGAGGGGCCAGCCACTGCAAAACTTCTGTTTAGGAGCTGCTCAGGGTGGGACTTAGCATGACTGGATGGTCTGGGAGGGATGGCAAAGCTGCTTTTGCAGAGGGCCTTTCGAAATATACAGAAAATTTCAATTGCCTGAAGCAAGGAATTGAGGGCAGGCTTTGATGAAGATTGTGGGGTACAAAAGCCAGGGATGACTTTTTATGTGCAATTGACTGCATAGTAGTGGCCATTCAGAATGGATGTTAAATGGTCCTGGAGTCCTCTGGACACTTGAGGATCCCAGGGAAGGGCTGGAGTGGCCATGGTCCTCACAGGGCTGAGGGAACCTGCTCTGTATTAATCAATTAGTTAGAACTGTGTGGAATTGCCAACATTCAACCAATTGCCCAAACAGCACTTTCATGTGCTTTAACCTAATATTTTATGTTTTGAGGACCAGTTGGCCATTCCCAGTCATCCAGCAGTCTGTCGCTGGCTCAGTGCCAGCCCAGGTGTTACCCATCCATCCCTGTATTCCCTCCTATTCTCTCTCCAGCTGTTCGTTGTCCAGCCCCTGTTTCCTTTGAGAACGGTGTGTACACCCCACGGCTGGGGGCCCACCCTGTGGGCAGCAACCTGACCTTTGAGTGTGAGGATGGCTTCACACTGCGGGGCTCGCCTGTACGTCAGTGTCGCCTCAATGGCTTATGGGATGGAGAAACTGCCGTGTGTGATAATGGGGGTGAGTGCTGTGACCCATGGGTCAAATGAGGGCTGGGAGGCTCCTGGGGAATGCTGGAGCCAAATGTATGCCCAAGAAGCCTCTGTGGGGATGGGGATCTGGTGTTCCCTGTGTCACAATAATAAATATTTCTGGATTTTGGTAAATTGAGGTCTACAGGTCACTCATCATCAGTATGCAGGCAACCTGGTCCCGGGGAGTTGGTGCTAAGCTTCAGATCAAATATATATGCTTCACACACTCTCTCCAGCTTTTCTAAATGCCTCAAAACAAGACTTGGGATTTGAGTGTCACAAATTATTGCAACAGGAGAATAGACTATTGTGTTTAAGTGCCTTGCCTCTGGAACCAGGTTTGGGTCCCTTGGCCTTCCCTGGGAGACACTAGAACTGTGCTTCCCAAGAGTGTAGATGAAGAACCTTGACTTTGATAGCCTATGGACAGGTTATTTAACTTGCCTATGCCTCTGTTTTCATATCTATAAAATGAGAATAGTAAGAGTGCCAGCTTCCTGGGATTGCTGCCTGGATTAAATGAGTTGATATTAGTAAGCATCTAGAATAGTTCCTGGAGGGGCTGTGCCTGTGGGTCAAGGAGTAGGTTGCCAGCCCCATATGCTAAAGGTGGTGGGTTCAAACCCAGCCCTGGCCAAAAACTGCAATAAAATAAAATAAAATAACTGACCTTAAACTACATTTAAAAAAAAAAATAGAATAGTCCCTGGAATTGGATTACTGCCGCACACACTTTTTTTTTTTTGTAATTTTATAATTTTATTTGATGTGTCTGACAATCACCAGTTAGTTCTCATCCATGTTGACTGTGTAGATTTTTGAAAGTGGTAACAGGTACATGGGTAACTAAAGTATAGAGCTTGTTTGGTAAATCTTCATCTTCATTGCGTTTTCTAGGTAACTGTACATGGATATGGTATGGGACATTCCTTATGCCTTTGGCCCAGACAGCTTTGTTAAGCCTGGTATCAATGCGCACCAGGAGTTCCATCTCTTTCATGGCAAATTTCTGGATCTCTTTGAGTGCCCAAGGGGCACGCTTCTTGAAGCCCACTCCATGGATGTGCTTGTGAACATTGATAATGTATTCTTGAGTCACCACCTCGTTGATGGCAGACTGGCCCTTCTTCTTCTCACCACCCTTCTTTGCGGGAGCCATTCTGCAGGGCCCAAGTTGGAAAGTCACACTTTTTTTTTTTAAATTATTTATTTTTTTTAGTAGGCAAGGTCTCACTATGTTGCCCAATCTGGCCTCAAAATTTTGGGCTCAAGCAATCTTCCTGCTCTGGCCTCCTGAGCAGTAGGGACTGAAGGCGTACACCACTCAGCACAGCCACATGTGCTTTTGCCGTAGTTATGATTGCCCCTGTGAATGGTGAAGGGCTCTCCTTGACAGAAGAGGAGCAGCAGTATTTCCTGGAGCCACAGTTTCCTGTAGGTTTGGGGGGCTTCTCCTAGATCATAGTTCTGAGTACATAATACAGAAGACATAGGGTCCACAAGAAGGCAGGACCCTACGTCCAGTGACTCAGCCTGTGGCTTCCCACTCTTGCCCTAGAGTCTTTGCCAAATAGCTATTAATTCAAACATAAATATAATTTTAAAAAATTAAGGTGTACTCTACCTGCTCTACCTACAAAATGTATAAATCTTAAGTATTCAGCTTGATGGATTTTTATGTATGAATCTATCTCTGTTCTCACCACCTAGAACAGAGAACTCGCCCAACATGGCAGAGGCTTCGTCCTGTCCCCTCCCATGAAGTGACGAGTCTTTGAAATTCTGCCTTTGCAGAGTAGTTTAGCTTGTTTTTACAATACATATAGATAGAATCATGCAGGCGGTGGCCTTTGCATCTGGCTTCCTTTAACATTCTGCTTGTGAGATTTATCCATGTTGTTGTGTGTATGGGTAGTTTGTTCTTTTTTATTGCCATGTAGTATTCTGTATTTGACTGTATTACAGTTTATTTATCCATTCTCCGGTCAGTGTGCATTTGGGTTGTTTTCGGTTTGGGGTTCTTAGGAGTAAGCTCTATGAATGTTCTTGCACCTGACTTTTGGTGCACGCATACACTGGTTTCTCTGGAGTAAATGATCTAAATGTGGACTGGTCGGGTCACAGGCTGGCATAGTTTGGTGGTAGTAGAGGCTGACCATCAGCTTCCACCCATAGATACTCCAGCAACGTAACAGAGTTCTGGATGCTCCACATGCTTGCCAGCATTTGGAGTTAACTGTCATTCTAGAGTTGGCCCTTCTGGTGGGTGCAGTGATGCCTCCTTGTGGTCTATGATATGTAAATTTTCTCTGTGGAGGTGTAGGGATCACCAGCCAGCATCTTCCCTGGGGCTCCGGGACAGACAGGAGTGAATCCCTGAGTTGGGGTTGGGGAGCTTCAGCTGGTGAATGAGGCTGTTGAGTTCTAAACATTGTGTCCTCCTCAAGGTTCTCCATCTACACTCCTGTGTTGTCTGGAGTGTCTCCCAGGGGGAGACAGTTCTGGTGTCTCCCAGGGGGAGGCCAGGGGACCCTCCAAGGTCCTGAGAGGTGGGAGAGCCTGGCAGGTAAGGGGGCAAGTGAGTGAGGCCAGGTGGCCAGAGGAGGCTGCTTACCTCTGTCCTCCCTCATTCACTTGCAGCTGGCCACTGCCCCAACCCAGGGATTTCAGTGGGTGCTGTGCGGACAGGCTCCCGCTTTGGCCTTGGGGACAAGGTCCGCTACCGCTGCTCCTCGAATCTGGTGCTCACAGGGTCTGCAGAGAGGGAGTGCCAAGAAAATGGGGTCTGGAGCGGGACGGAGCCCATCTGCCGCCGTGAGTAGCTGCTCTGCCCTCCCTCCCAGACCCCAGGGTACCCCAGCCCTGTCCTGGTTGACCCTCTGTGGCTCTTCCCACAGAACCCTACTCTTATGACTTCCCTGAGGATGTGGCCCCTGCCCTGGGCACCTCCTTCTCTCACTTGCTTGGGGCCACCAATCCCACCCAGCAGAAAAAGGGTGAGTGTTTGAGGCAGTGGCTGGGCCTGGCCGGAGCAGGGGAGGGAGGTAGCTTCCTGGAGGTCTGGGAGCCTGGGGGGCTCTGTGACCAGAGGGAAGCAGGGAGGCTGGATCTCCTGCTAGGGCACAGGAAGGAGGTGACATTCTGATTCCTCCCCTTCCACTTTTCTCCAGAAGACCTGGGCCGTAAAATCCAAATCCAGCGCTCTGGTCACCTGAACCTCTACCTGCTCCTGGATGCCTCTCAGAGTGTGTCACAAGAAGACTTTGACATCTTCAAGGAGAGCGCCTCGCTCATGGTGGACAGGGTCAGGAATTAAGAGCCTGCATGTGGAAGAGGTCTTCCTGCATCACTGTCCCCTGTCTCCTTCCCTTCCTCAAAGTCCCACTCATAGCCCACTTCCTCCAAGAAGTCTTCCCAGGTTATACTCAGGACAGGCAGGACTCATGATTTCAATTTACATGCACATATTTTTTTATTCCACAAACACTTTTGGGGCAGCAGCTATGTTCCAGGCAAGACGCTGGGTGCTAGGGGACATCAAAGATGAACTTGCTTTCTGGGAATGCACTGGTTTAGAACAGTGGTTCCCATAAAAAGGGTAACAAGATAATCCTTGGGGGTGTGTCAGAAAGATCCTGGTACCTTTGTCAAATAATTAAAAATTAAACTAATAATTTAATATTTTATAATTTCCTTTTAAAATTTTAATTCTTTGTGGAGGCTTTATAATGTATACAACATATTTGAATACTGATACACTTATCTAATTTATAAGTCCATATCCTTACACTGGGGCATATGCTCACAATGTTTTTACTGACAGGAAGCACAGAAGGAAGAGTCTGGCAAGGCTTGGTGCCCGTAACACAGTGGTTACGGTGCTGGCCACATGCACTAAGGCTGGTGGGTTCGAACCCTGCCCCGGCCAGCTAAACAACAATGACAACTGCAACCAAAAAATAGCCAGGTGTTGTGGCGGGTACCTGTAGTCTCAGCTGTGAGCTGTGATGCTACAGCACTCTATGACATAGTGAGACTCTGTCTCAAAAAAAAGGAAGGGTCTGAAAGATGCTGGTTTAAGTTCCTAGCCAACCTTTTGTTTTATAATTATGCTTTTCACAATAATCCATGTGGACAGATGGTTTTTCCTTCCAGCTATGTAGTTACATGGTAAAGAGGGCAGTTTCTATGCTCTTTAGTCTTTCTTAGGACTTAAAAGCAAGTAACTCATTGAAGTGTGAAGCGGCAACTTGCCAACAAGCTCAGGTCCTGCCTCCACCTCTTCTTCCTCATGGTGTGGTGGGGCAAGCTAACAAGTCTCAGTTTCCTTACCCATAAGATGGGGACCACCATGGCCCCTCCAGAGCTGATATGAGGATTAAATGAGAAGAGAGTCTGTCAAGAGAATAAGTACTTGATAACCGCTCCTTTGCTGGCTTCTTCCAAGCAGCCATTTCCTAGTTGGTGCCTCCTGTGTCCATCCAGGCTCTCTGCCTGCTTGGGGGCCATTGCTTGCTAGCTTACCATCCTCCCTGTGGTTCCAAGGCCCTTCACGCCATCTCTCAATCACCCTGCACAGATCTTCAGCTTTGAGATCAATGTCAGTGTCGCCATCATCACCTTTGCCTCCAAGCCCAAAGTCCTCATGTCTGTCCTGCATGACAATTCCCGAGATGTGACAGAAGTCATCAGCAGTTTGGAAAATGCCAACTCTAAAGGTATGGGTGTCATCACATGATGCGATGGGAGAGGAGAGGATGGACTCGGGCCTGCAGACAGATTCTAGACAAATTAGAGAGAATGATGCCTCTTGGTGGCACTTGAGTCCCAGGGCTTGGGTGTAGCTTTAAAAAAAAATTTTTTTGAGGCAGAGTCTCACTATGTTGCCCTCCGTAGAATGCCATGGCATCACAGCTTACAGCAACTTCAAACTCTTGGGCTTAACTCAAACTCTCCTGCCTCAGCCTCCCAAGTAGCTGGGACTACAGGTGCCCACCACAATGCCTGGCTATTTTTTGTTGCAGTTGTCATTATTGTTTTAGCTGGCTCAGGCTGGGTTTGAACCCACCAGCCTCGGTGCATGTGGCTGGCACCATAACTGCTGCACCACGGGTGCCAAGCCTCAGGTGTAGCTTTTAAGTCCAGCATCCTAGTAAGGGAGTCCAGCTACTCCCAACTCTCGGTTCACTCTGACATGCTGCAAGGCCAAACACACTGTGCAGGTCTTCAGCTCCTTCCACGTGGTCTGGCCTCTGTGGCTCAAAACTGCCAACTCCCCATGTCATTATTCATCTGGACACTGTGTGAAGCTACGTCAGTGGTAGGTAGCAAATGACTAAAGCAACTCAAGTTCTCTGGATAACTCACCTTTGAATCCTGGGACTTTAGAGTGGTCTTGAATTAGGGTAATGCAATGAGCACTTCTAAGGTAGAATGGCTTTTAATGTTTGAATAAGAAATGATGGCAAGTCACTACCTAGATGGCAAAGATCTGAGTTTATAAAACCAATTGATAAATTACATTTCTGGTGGTTGAAAGAATAGGGTGATTCCCTATCCCTGGGTGGCAGGCGGGAAGCTACTAAGAGAGTTCTTCTTTTTTGGCATGTTCCAGACCATGAAAACGGAACTGGGACTAACATCTTTGAGGCCCTGAATAGCGTCTACCTCATGATGAATAACCAAATGCTGCGACTCGGCATTGGGACAGTGGCCTGGCAGGAAATCCGACATGCCATCATCCTTCTGACAGATGGTGGGTATCGTTGTCCTGCAAGTGGGTGTGGGCTAGCGGAAGGAACACCAATGTGGGGCCAGAAGATCTGCAGTCTGGTTCTCCCTCTGCCATTCTGGACCCTAGTTTCTTATTTATAAAAATAGAAATAAGTGATATTGATAATGCTGACTGTAACCATGATGGCAATGATGATGATGGCTTCCCTCCTTTCCTTACATAATTTTTATGGAGAGCAATTCAAGTAGTTTGTGTAAAAGTGCTTTGTGATTAGAACATATTAGCTCTTCTTACTACCTGGAAGGTGACTTGGACCTACGTGGGGAAACGTGGTTCTTGAGCAGGAGTATCGAGGGGCACAGATGAAGAAGCAGCCTGTGTTAGATCTGGCCTTGTCATTTGCCTCTTGATTTGTTCCAAATTACACAGCCCCTCTAAGGCTATTTTGTTGTCTATAAAATGAGGATACCCATATTTCCTGGGGTTGCATGAGAATTAAAGGAGATAAAGTATGTGAAGCTCCTGGCTTAGTGACAAGAATGTAGAAAATTTCAGTAAAAGGAATTTTTTATTTTTTTTGAGACAGAGCCTCATTTTGTTGCCCTTGGTAGAGTGCCATGGTGTCATATCTCACAGCAACATCAAATTCTTGGGTTCAAGCAATTCTTTTGCCTCAGCCTCCCAATTAGTTGGAACTAAAGGCGCCTGCCTGGCTGTTTTTAGAGATGAGGTCTTGCTCTGGCTCAGGCTGGTCTCGAACCCGTGAGCACAGGCTATCCACCTGCCTCAGCCTCCCAAGTGCTAGGATTACAGGCATAAGCCACCAAACCCGGCCGAAAAGGAATATTTTGAAACCCATATAAGAAAAACAAGTGTCAAGTTTCCCAGGCTGAATGCTTCCCCACTCTTCCAGGGTTCTGGACAATCCTGATATCCACCCAGCTGAAAAATTCTTTGCCGGGCAGCTCCTGTGCCTCAGTGGGTAGGGTGCCAGCCTCATATATCGAGGATGGCACATTCAAACCTGGCACTGGCCAAACTGCAACAAAAAAATAGCCGGACATTGTGGCGGGCACCTGTAGTCCCAGCTATTCAGGAGGCTGAGGCAAGAGAATTGCCTAAGCCCAGGACTTGGAGGTTGCTGTGAGCTGTGATGCCATGGTACTCTACCAAGGGCAATAGAGTGATACTCTGTCTCTTAAGAAAAAAAAAAAAAGAAAAAAAGAAAAATTGTTTGCCATCTCTGTTCCAGGAAAGTCCAATATGGGTGGCTCTCCCAAGATCGCTGTCGACAATATCAGAGAGGTCCTGAACATCAACCAGAAGAGGAATGACTATCTGGGTGAGCCCCTACTACCTATCTGAGCTGTCCCTGTAGGGGGGCACAGGGTCCTCAGCCAGGGGTCCCAGGATTTTGGCTCTGACCTGGAGCCATATGGATTTATTTGTGCGTTGTTCCACAGAAAGGCAACTGAGGATCACACTGAAGAGTCTGGTGACACACTGCCTGTGGTCTCAACACTTGGTTTTGTCTTCCAGGGGCTGTGGCCATGGGCAGTTTCTTCATCTAGGGGAACAGAGCAAGGACATTTTTTGTAGGCTATGAGGGGAAGATATTCAGGCAAACATTGCCTGGCACACAGAAACACCTAGTTTATGTTAGCTTTGACTGTCACCACCGTCATCATCACTATCTCATGAGGAACCTTTCTAGGAAGAAGGGACCTTGATTTCTTGTAGGGATGGTCCCTAGTGTTTTGTCTTTCAGCAGTATAGATAGCGAACTACAGCTTTGGCAGTTTCAGCCCCTAAAGGAATAATTCCCCATGTTCAGACTAAACACAAATTATACTGACCTTTGACTAGAAAAGAATTTTTTTTCTGAGACAGAGCCTCAAGCTGTCCCCCTGGGTAGAGTGCCATGGCATCACAGCTCACAGCAACCTCCAACTCCTGGGTGCCCGCCACAATGCCCAGCTATTTTTTGGTTGCAGCCCTCCTTGTTATTTGGCAGGCCTGGGCTGGATTCGAACCCACCACCTTAGGTGTATGTGGCTGGCACCTTAGCCACTTGAGCCACAGGCACCGAGCTCCCCGGGCTGGATTTGAACCTGCCATCTTAGGTGTATGTGGCTGGCACCCTAGCCACTTAAGCCACAGGCGCTGAGCCTCTAGAAAAGAATTTTAAGGAGAGTTGCTTAGATGGGGAAAGCAGCTGGTTTTGAGCTCCCAAATCCCACCTTCCCCTTAGGTCCTCTCCTTTCCATTCATACTGCCCTACCCACCTGCCCCTCAAGGGTAAGCTGATTCCTCTTTAAATCTCTGGCCTAAGGAAGACAAAAGTCAAAACCCACTCCCTTCCTCCTTAGTGTTACTCACTGGGCTGGGGTTAAATGCTTGAAAAGATTTTATTAAGAAGAAGTAGAAGACCAAAGGAAAATGGCCAAAGACAACACATGGGCTGTTGCCAGGTTGTTTCCTGGCTAAAGACCTCTCTGACCACCCTGATCCTTACACATAACACAGCACCCTCCAGGAGCAAAACAGCGGGCCACAAGGGGCACAAAGGGTGGGAGAAGATCAGGCTCTGTGGACCACCTCAGGGCGGTTGTGACTGGCACCACACTCTGATGCTGGGCACTGATGGTAGTGTGAGCCCAGTCCCTCCAGTGGGAACAGGTGGCTTTAGGCCCTTCTCTCAGATCCTACCTTTTACAGAGGAAGACCAGATCAGAAGTTTGTCTCCATGCTATATTCTGAGTTCTTTTTATTCTGTCAGTCATTTAAAAGTATTTACCAGGGGCCTGTTCTGGGCCAGGCACCATTCTGTATGCTGAGGATACAGCTGTGAAACATCCGCTTGCATGCCACTCTGCATGGGGCAACATCTGAGTTTCCTGGGCTGCTGTAGCAAAACTCCACACCTGGGTGGCTTAAAACACAGAAATTTATCTCACAGTTTTGGAGATTAGAAGTCTGAAATTAAGGTGTTGGCAGGGCCTGCTCCCTCTGGAGGCTCTCGGGAAGAGTTCTGTCCTGTCTCTCCCAGCTTGTGGTGGCCAGGCATTCCTTAGCTTGTAGTCACATAACCCCAACCTCTGCCTGTGTCTTCATCTCCCCTTCTTCTTGTGCACATCTCTGTATTATCACATGATGTTCTCCTATACACATAGGAGATCCAGTACCCATTTGTTTGATCCAAATTCCCCTGTGTTTTTGTTTTTGTTTTTTTTTGAGACAGAGTCTCCCTATGTTGCCCTTGGTAGAATGCTGTGACGTCACAGCTCACAGCAACCTCAAACTCTTGGGCTTAAGCAATTCTCTTGCCTCAGCCTCCCAAGTAGCTAGGACTACAGGCGCATGCCACAATGCCTGACTATTGTTGTTGTAGTTGTCATTGTTGTTTTAGGTGGCCCAGGCAGGGTACGAACACACCAGCCTTGGTGCATGTGGCCACCACGCACTGTAACCACTGTACTATGGGCCCCGAGCTATAATTCCACTGTTTTTATAAGGCCCTAGTAAGGCCCTAGTCACTGGTTGCGGCTTGCCCTAATCTAGTATAAACCCAACTTAATGATAGCTCCAAAGACCCTTTATCTAAACAAGGTCAGATTCACAAGTATTGGGGGTTGGAACTTTAACAAATCTTTTGTGGGGGACACAATTCTCCCCACTATAGGCAATAAGTAAGGAAGCTGGGTATATACCTATAGTTCCAGCTAGTTAGGAGGCTGAAGCACAAGGATTGCTCAAGCCCAGGAGCTCAGGAGCCAGCCTGGGCAACATAATGAGAACCTATATTTAAACAACAAACAAAACAAAACAAAACAAAATGAGATAAGGAATCCATATAGTATAGTAGGTGGTTGGTGACATAAACTAAGGTATAAAGGCTCAGAACCTGTAGCTCAAGTGGCTAGGGTGCCAGCCACATACACTGGAGCTGGCAGGTTCGAATCCAGCCTAGGCCAAAAAATAGCCAGGTGGCGCCTGTGGCTCAAGGAATAGGGTGCTGGCCCCATATGCTGGAGGTGGCAGGTTCAAACCCAGCCCCAGCCAAAAACTGCAAAAAAAAAAAAAAAAAAAAAGTAGATGAGTATCGCGGTGGGCACCTATAGTCCGAGCTACTTGGGAGGTTGAGGCAAGAGAATCACTTAAGCCCAAGAGTTGGAGGTTGCTGTGAGCTGTGATGCCATAGCACTCTACCCAGGGTGACAGCTTAAGACTCTGTCCCCTTCCCCCCACCCAAAGAAAAAGGTATAAAATGTAGTGAGGGGAGGGGATGAAAGTGTCTGGGGCATTGCAGTTTGGGACAGGGAGACCAGGGAAGGCCTTTCTCAGAAGGTGATATTTGAGCCAAGACTTAGGTAAGAAAGTGAGCCTCGGGAGTGGGGTACACTGGGCAGAGGCACAGCTGGTGCAGACGGCCTGAGGTGGGCATATGGCTATGGATCTGAGGGACTTCAGGGAGACTGTGTGCTGGTATGAAGGGCAGGGAGTGGCAAGAAATGAAGGCAGATAGGTGGCAGGGTGAAGGAGGCATGGGCTGGCTCATGTAGGTCTTTGTGCGGCACACTGAGTTCCAAATAATAGCCTTGGATCTCATGGGGTGGCCCCTCACAAGGATTCTGGTGCTTCCCTTCCTCCCCAACAGATATCTATGCCATTGGGGTGGGCAAGCTGGATGTGGACTGGAGAGAACTGAATGAGCTGGGGTCCAAGAAGGATGGTGAGAGGCACGCCTTTATTCTGCAGGACACCAAGGCTCTGTACCAGGTCTTTGAGCATATGCTAGGTGAGTGAGCCTCCACCTCTCTGGGCAGGGAGGACAGGAGGAGCCAGCTGGAGGCCCACGTTGGGGACCTGGACCCAGTGCCTCTTACCTGTCTCCTTCCCCATCTGATCCTCACGCCACAGATGTCTCCAAGCTCACAGATACCATCTGTGGGGTGGGGAACATGTCGGCAAATGCCTCTGACCAAGAGAGGACACCCTGGCATGTCACTATTAAGGTATCAGGGAAAAGGGGTGGGGCTTGTGGCCACTGGCCAGAAACACAGCAGCCTGAAGATCGCCTGTTCCCATGCAGCCCAAGAGTCAGGAGACCTGCCGGGGGGCCCTCATCTCAGACCAGTGGGTCCTGACAGCAGCTCACTGTTTCCGCAACAGTGAGGACCGCTCTCTGTGGAGGGTTAATGTGGGTAAGGCAGGGGCTGCAGCAGATCCCCAACCCTGAAACCAGAGATCCCACCACTTATTTCCAGTCTCTGGTCCTTTAGGAGCCTGGTCTAGACTAATCTGCCACATTGTTCCAGGGGATCCCAACTCCCAGAGGGGAAAAGACTTCCTTATTGAGAAGGCTGTGATCTCCCAGGGTTTTGATGTCTTCGCTAAGAAGAACCAGGGGATCCAGGAGTTCTATGGTGATGACATTGCCTTGCTGAAGCTGGCCCAGAAAGTGAAGATGTCCACCCATGCCAGGTATCCGAGTCTGGGATGGAAGGGTGCCCTTCATGGGAGAGTGCTCTGGGGACTCCTAGAGCACATACTGAGGGGATGCCTGAGTGACCCTTGGCCTTCTCCCCAGACCCATCTGCCTTCCCTGTACAATGGAAGCCAATCTAGCTCTGCGGAGACCCCAGGGCAGCACCTGTCGGGACCATGGTGAATGCTGGGGCTTAGGGTGCCTGAAAGTTGGGGCTAGGGCTTGGGGGTAATGACAAGGCCTGGGCTGTAGTCTCCAAGCTGGCAGTCAGTTTTGGGGGCAAGAGGACCAGTAACAACACCCCTTTCTCCTTGACTACAGAGCATGAACTGCTGAACAAACTGAGCGTTCCTGCTCATTTTGTTGCCTTGAATGGGAGCAAACTGAACATTAATCTCAAGACTGGGACAGAGGTGAGGGTCTCAGGTCAGGGATGCTAGGATGCCCCTGTGGCAGCTCCCAGAACATCTCCCTTGTCCAGCTCTGGATGCTTTCTCCATCTGACTCAGGTCACCCCTCCTCTAGGCCTAGCTGGTCTGCTGGGTGTCTCTGTTCATTTGATTCCTCTTTCCTGCTCCACCCCTACTGCAGTGGGCAAACTGTATCCAAGCGGTCTCCCAAGGCAAAGCCATGTTCCCCAACTTAACAGATGTCAGAGAAGTGGTGACAGACCAGTTCCTTTGCAGTGGGACCCAGGAGGATGATAATCCCTGCAAAGGTGAGTTCCCCTACCATTCCTGGATTCATGAGGGGAAGGGCATTGTGTCACTGTGGCCAGCATACATGCCAGGATACCAGTGTACTGCCCCGGATGACACTGACTCCTGTCCTCCCTTGCTGGCAGGAGAATCTGGGGGAGCAGTTTTCCTTGAGCGGAGATTCAGATTTTTTCAGGTGAGTAGGGGGAAGCTCTCTGGACTGGGGTTATAGGATCTCAGCCTTGCTTGTGGGATGGTCCTCCCTTGAGGGAGGTCTTTGGAGGAACCACAATAGTTGGAGCTTGGAGCTGGGGCTGTGGTAGCCTCCAGCCATTTCTTTCCATTCCTCTAGGTGGGCCTGGTGAGCTGGGGTCTTTACAACCCTTGTGCTGGTGCCCTTGACAAAAACTCCCGCAAAAGGGCTCCCCGTGGCAAGGTCCCACCGCCGCGAGACTTCCACATCAATCTCTTCCGCTTGCAGCCCTGGCTGAGGCAGCACCTGGAGGGCATCTTGAACTTTTTGCCCCTCTAATCATGGCCACTAAACCCTCTGCTGTCCTGCTAGGATCTGCCATCTCTTCCACCTCCTACCTCTAAATATCCACCCACCTTGCTGAGTAAATCCCTGTCTCTGGGATCCCAGCTGGGCAATCTCCAGGGCTCCTGCCAGCACAACTGCCCTGCTGTCGTACTCTGCTTGGCCTGTGCCCAAACCTCTCCCTAATTTACTTGACTCATTCCCCTTTCACTTTCACATGGAATTTACCATTTATGAAATTAATAAAAATCAGTGATTTCTACATCTATCTGTGCCTTTGTCTGGGGCAGGCAGGCCTGGGGGTGGGGAGAAGGGAGGCCATAATGACTCCAAGGACGATAGAAAGGCAGGTCAGAGACCCCACTGGACAAACAGCAAAACCGGACTTTGCCCCTTAACACACTGTCAACAGGAGAGCAAGCTGGGGGCTTTGTTTCTGGTCCCTAAGTGGGTGGTCTAGGCTTATTGGGGGAGGAGCTGGAGCCTGAAAGGAAGTGTTGAAGGGGTGAGTCCTGGACCTCAGGGCAGCAAAGGGTGGGACTTGTGCAGTTTCTCTTTCCTCAACTGGCAGCTCCGTGGGGCCCTCCCACTTGGACATTCCGGGAAAATGATGAGGGCAGGGCAGAGGGGCAGGCAGGGCAGCTGCAGGTGCCAGAACACAGATTGCATAAAAGGCTGGGGGATGGTGGGGGACTGAGGAAGGGAGAGCCACTAGGCCCAGGTCTGGAGTTTCAGCTTGGACACAGAGCCAGGAAGACACGCAGAGCAAGCCTGAGCAGGCCATCTTGACCCTAGTCCTAACTTCTCTCCTGCCTTCTATTGCTATGGGGAGCAATCAAAGCCCCCAACTCTGCCTGGTATCCTTGGTCTTGGGCCTCTTGTCTGGAGGTAAGTGAGGCTCCCCTGCCCCCTCCTGCTGCCCGTAGCATCCCTCCTTGGCCTTGTGGGACTAGGCTTCATCAGCCTTTCTCTTTAGGTGTGAACACAACCCCATTGTCTTTGGCCCAGCCCCAAGTCTCCTGCCCTCTGGAGGAGATACAGATCAAAGGTGGCTCCTTCCGACTTCTCCAAAATGGCCATACACTCGAGTATGTGTGTCCTTCCGGCTTCTACCCATACCCTGTGCAGATTCGCACCTGCAGATCCACGGGGTCCTGGAGCACCCTGCAGACCCGAGACCAAAAGATTGTCAAGAAGGCAGAGTGCAGAGGTCTGAGAGCAGTGAATGTGGGTGGTGGCCTAAGGGAGGGATGAGCAACCTAGTCCCAGCAAGGTTGGGACTAGGATGAGACTGGACTTGTGTTGAGACTAGGGAGGGCTCACAAGGTGGGCTGACCAAGAGCAGAAAGAGTTCTAGAGTGGCAAATGGGAAAGGAGGGGGTTGGAAGAAGAGCTAGCTTTTACTAAGCATTTATTCTGGGGTTCCAGGCATCCCTGGAAATTTAAAAAAGCACTCAGAAATAGGGAGGGAAGAGCAGCAGGACCCCTATGTGTTGAGGGGTAGGTAGATGCTACTCCTGTGGGACTGGGAATGAGCTGTGTCTCAGTGACAGGGTCTCTGAGACAAAGAGGGATAGCCTTAAAGTAGTCCTTCCCTTTACTTGACATCTACTTGTCCTCTTCCCAAAAGCAATTCACTGCCCAAGACCACAAGAGTTTGAGAATGGAGAATACTGGCCCCAGTCCCCCTACTACAATGTTAGTGACGAGATCTCTTTCCACTGCTATGATGGTTACACTCTCCGGGGCTCTGCCAATCGCACTTGCCAAGAGAATGGCCGGTGGGATGGGCAAACAACAATCTGTGACAATGGAGGTAAGAAGTGTCCCCTTCCTCATTGCCCTGTCTCTGACTGCACTCCAGCCTGAGGAATGGGCACCCTAACTCTTGCTCTCTGCTTTGCCTTCTGGGCCTCAGGCTTTAGTGCTCACTCCATGTCTCATGCTTCTGCAGCTGGGTACTGCTCCAACCCGGGCATCCCCATCGGTACAAGGAAGGTGGGCAGCCAGTACCGCCTTGAGGACAGTGTTACTTACTACTGCAGCCGAGGGCTTACCCTGCGTGGCTCCCAGCGGCGAACATGTCAGGAAGGTGGCTCTTGGAGTGGGACAGAGCCTTCCTGCCAAGGTGACACTTGATCTGTGATAAGGAGTCAGGTCCTGTGCTCCTGTCGTACTGTCCCCATACCAGGGTTCTGTCTTCTCTCCTTGCCTCAATCCTGCTCCTTCCTTCCTTCTTTTAAACCTCCCTCTAGGACATTCTCACTTCTGAGCCCTTTCCACCCTGGAAACTCACATCCTGCCTCTTTTGTCACTGTCCTTGACCCTTCCAGACATTTGACCTAATTTCTGATTTCTTTAGACTCCTTCATGTATGACACCCCCCAAGAGGTGGCTGAAGCCTTCCTGTCTTCCCTGACAGAGACTATAGAAGGAGTGGATGCCGAAGATGGGCACAGCCCAGGTTTGGAGGCAAAGAGAGGAGGCAGTGAGGGCACTGGGGGCGGATGGAGAAGGGGCAGAACCACACATACTAGAGCCTGAGTCTCTCTGCTGCCATTTAGGGGAACAACAGAAGCGGAAAATTGTTCTGGACCCCTCAGGCTCCATGAACATCTACCTGGTGCTGGATGGATCAGACAGCATTGGAGCCAGCAACTTCACAGGGGCCAAGAGGTGTCTAGCCAACTTAATTGAGAAGGTAGAGTCCCCTTTCCCCTAAACCTGGGGACTCTGTATTGCCCATCCAGGACTAGCTTCCTGATAATCCTAGACCTTTTGAATTATATGGCCCCAGAAAATCTCTGGGTCCTATCTGCTCTCCTTCCTTCTTTGCTTGAAGCAGTCTCCTGAATGTGAACAGACTCCTCCACGAACCTTGCCCCTTAAGTCTCTATGATCTTACTTGTCCCAGAAAAGTTAACTGAATTCTCCCAGTCTTAGTATTCTACTTTAAATGCCCTGACACCTTGCTTCCTCACCTACAGGTGGCGAGTTACGGGGTGAGGCCAAGATATGGTCTAATAACATATGCCACATACCCCAATATTTTGATCAAAGTGTCTGACACAAAGAGCAGTGATGCAGACTGGGTCACAGAGCAGCTCAACAAAATCAGTTATGAAGGTCAGAGGTTAGGGAAGGGAAGAATGGGAGGTCTACTTTGGGTCAGAGGGGCCAGAAGGTTCAGGAGTATTGTGTGGAGAGGGTGGTGAGACCATGTTACGGGTGACAGGGAGGACCAATTTGTAGTCAGAAGTTGAATAGCAAGGTCATCAGACAATGAGGGTTAGTGGGAACCTATTGGAGGTTGGGAGAGCCACACTGTGGCCAAAGGGAAGTCAGTGGGACGATGATCAACTCAAAAAGTTGTAAGTTGTGGAATCACAGTTTGCCAGTATACCTCTGGGGTTGAAGAATGGCTTGGAAGACCAGGTTAGGTGATGACCTCTTCCCTCTCCACAGACCACAAGTTGAAGTCAGGGACTAACACAAAGAAGGCCCTCCAGGCAGTGTATAGTATGATGAGCTGGGTAGAGGACACCCCTCCTGAAGGCTGGAACCGCACCCGCCATGTCATCATCCTCATGACTGATGGTCAGAAGGAACCCCTCTCCTGTCTCAACCTCCCCACTCTCTCAGAACAGCATGTAGCCCTTAAGTCCACTTGTAATATTAGACACAGGGTTGGGCCCTGAATACCCTTCTTCCCTTTTACTTGAAGCAGTCACAGTCTCTTGACTGTGAAGACTCCTCCACAATCCTCAACCTTGAACCTCTATAACCTTCTTTGTCCCCAAAAGTTCCTGAATCCTCCCAACCAGAGTAGTTTATACTTTCCATGTCCTGCCTCCCTTGCCAAAAGCAGATCATAGCCAGCTGTAGATGATGTCTGTGACCCTTTACAAAGAGGGACCCTTCTCACCAAAGCCTTCTGTGATCTGCCACCTCTATTCCCTCCTCAACCTGCTTACCCAGCCATGTGTGTCACTGTCTCTGGCCAGTTTATCTTTTTTGATCCTTTTTTCCCCTTCATTTCTGTGGTCCCTATCTTTCTGCAGGCTTGCACAACATGGGTGGGGACCCAGTCACTGTCATTGATGAGATCCGGGACTTGTTGAACATTGGCAGGGATCGCAAAAACCCAAGGGAGGATTATCTGGGTGAGTGACCTGCCTAGGACTCAGCATCACACTTCCCCAGGGCCTGGAGTCTCACTCCTCCCTTTTTCTCCCTCAGATATCTATGTATTTGGGGTCGGCCCTCTGGTGGACCAAGTGAACATCAATGCTTTGGCTTCCAAGAAAGACAACGAGCAACATGTGTTCAAAGTCAAGGATATGGAAAACTTGGAAGATGTTTTCTTCCAAATGATTGGTATGAAGATATAAGAAGGGCATTAAGTACTCAACTCTCTCCAGGCCACCTGGAAGTCACACGTGTTTCCTCTACCCCTGAACCTAATAGTCTGGAAAGCCTCTCATTGCTCCTCCTCTGTCACTATTCCTGTTTCTTGGCACTGTCCACTTCCTAATCTCATAATCACAGAGCTGTGTTAAGTTAGAGATCTTGTGGTCCCTCATTTAACAAGTGTGGAAACTGAGACCAAAAGAAGTCAAGGTACAGCAAATTAGCAACTGAGTTGGGTCCAAAACCAGCCAGCTTCCGATAGCATAGTCCCAAGTCCTTTTCACTATACAACAGCAGTTCCCTCACTCCTAACATAAGTAAATAAATGCCTGTGGCTTGTCCCTTTCTCCTCCTAAGTCTGTGCTATAGGTAGACATGCAGGGTACCCTCCCCAAAAGGCTGCTGCCATTTGCAAATGAAGTGTCTCCAGCTTTCAGCACATTCTCCTTCTCTGTCAGATGAAACCAAGTCTCTGGGTCTCTGTGGCATGGTTTGGGAACACAAGAAAGGTACCGATTACCACAAGCAACCATGGCAGGCCAAGATCTCAGTCACTGTAAGCACAGCATCCCAGGAGTGGGGACTTAAGGGGTGAGATCAGGGCAAAATGGGGGTAGAATGGGAAAATGTTTGTATTACACTGTGGTTTATGAAAGTTGAGCTTTCCCTCTCCACTGTTCCATTTCCAGCGCCCTTCAAAGGGACATGAGAACTGTATGGGGGCTGTGGTGTCTGAGTACTTTGTGCTGACAGCAGCACACTGTTTCACTGTGGATGACCAGGAACACTCAATCAAGGTCAGCGTGGGTAAGGATGCAATTGACTAGTCCTACACTTCACCTGCACTCAATGCAGCCCCTTCCCTTTTACCCTAGACTAGTCAGGGATGGGGAAGACTTGAAGTTAGGAGTGACGTGGGGTCAGAGGCAGGAGGCTGTTCACAGAGAAGTTGTACCCACTCTCCTATTTCAGGAGGGCAGAGGCGGGAGCTGGAGGTAGAAGAAGTCCTATTTCACCCCAACTACAACATCAATGGTAAAAAGGCAGAAGGAATTCCTGAATTTTATGACTATGATGTGGCCCTGGTCAAGCTCAAGAATAAGCTGAAGTATGGCCAGACTCTCAGGTGAGCAGCTGGAACCTTGAGGAGGAAAGGCTGGGAAAGGCAAGTTAGAACACAGGTAAGAGGCAGGACCAGTCTCCTGTCACTGACTGTCCTCCTCTCCTGCAACAGGCCCATTTGTCTCCCCTGCACTGAGGGAACAACTCGAGCTTTGAGGCTTCCTCAGACAACCACTTGCCAGCAACACAGTAAGACATATTCAGGGAAGCAGAAAAAACAAAAAATGAGAATTCAAGAGATGAGTGGGGCATGAGGGAGGTGCACTATGGAGCACACACACAGCCCAGTGCCCAGCTTGTGGAAAGGCCTTGAGGGACATCTGCTGATAACAAAGGCAACAGGGAGATGAGAGGGCAGGTGAAGTGACTCAGTCTGCCCATCTATCCAGAGGAAGAGCTGCTACCTGCAATGGATGTCAAAGCTCTGTTTGTGTCAGAGGAGGAGAAGAAGCTGACCCGGAAGGAGGTCTATATCAAAAATGGGGATAAGGTAAGAAATGGGGACACTAAGGAGGTCCTAAGCCATAATCTCTTCTAAGCCACCTTGGTCATCAATCCTTTCTTCTCTGTGCTACCTACCTCCCCATAGAAAGCCAGTTGTGAGAGAGATGCTCAATATGCACCAGGGTATGACAAAGTCAAGGACATCTCTGAGGTAGTCACACCCAGGTTCCTTTGCACCGGAGGGGCGAATCCCTATGCTGACCCAAATACTTGCAGAGGTGAGAGAAGGCTCTTTGCCTGTACCTCAGGTTCCTGAGGCCCAAGAGTCCTTTTCCCTGCAGCTTCTCATCTTACACAGGTGATTCTGGAGGCCCCCTGATTATTCACAAGAGGAGTCGCTTCATTCAAGTGAGTTCTCCCTTTCTGGTCTGTGGGGAGATGCCAAGTGGTCAGCACAGACCCCGAAATAGGAAAAAGCTCAATGCATGTGGGTAGTAGTGGGAGGTGGGCAGAGTCCCACTCATCTTAGGACCATGAGACCAGGGCTGAGCTGGATCCTTGGTCTAATTCCTTTAGATCAGCTCAGACCTCATTAGGAACAGCCAAACTTCTGGGATTAGGAAGGAATTCCACTGAATGATCCATGGTACCCCCTTGCCCCTGCAGATTGGTATAATCAGTTGGGGGGTAGTGGATGTCTGCAAAAACCAGAGACGGCAACGACAGGCACCTGCTCATGCCCGAGACTTTCACATCAACCTCTTCCAAGTGCTGCCATGGCTGAAAGAGAAACTCAAAGATGAGGATCTGGATTTTCTTTAAGGGGTTTCTTGAAAAGGGGCATGGGATTGAATTAAAACAGCTGCGATAATGCCTGTGTTCCAGATCCTTTTGGGGTAAGGGAGTGGGGAATGTGCACTGGCTATGTTGTTACAACTGCGATCAAATTTGACAGCCGTTTTTAAAGGCTGAACCCCAATCCCAAGTGCTGAAAAACCAGAGGCTGAGGGAGATGTGTGAGCTTCCACCTCAGTGTTTTACTGAGACCGGCATTGGGGGCATATGAGGCACAAGGAATCCAGCTCCATTCCCTAGAAGCCATCCACAAGGTTTTCCTTGTAGACATCATCACTGTAGACAATCTGGGTCCTCTTGTCCCGGTGGCAACCCTTAGGGCTGTTCTGGACAGCTAGGGAGGGAGGAGATGGACAGTTAGGGTCTGAAGGAGTTCACTGATCAAACCTGAGGCCCAGAACCTTACTACCTCATTCCCGGTTGCTGCCCACTGGTGGCCAGAATGGCCTGTCTCCTCTTAGCCTCCTCAAATTGCAGCTGCTGAACCACTGCCAAAGAGTTGTTACTGTGACACATGTGGAGACTGTGATGAATGTTTTGCTCTTAGAAAAACCCTAAATGTTGTCATTGCTGAGGCATATGAATGACGTTAACATGCTTTCAATCAATATGTCAAAAATTAAAAATCAAAAAATCTCTGTAGCCCTTTATTGATATGCTGGTCAATTCCGGCTTTCTTTCCTTTTGTCTGCAGGGCCTTTCTTTCTGTTCACTTCTTTCCCAGGAAAAATTTATTTCATATTTTCAGGCAAAATGGGTTATCTGCACCAAAAGATGCTATTAGCCCACACCAGAACTCATCCAGTGTGTAGCTTTGGCCCTCAGCATTCTCCCTCGAGTCTCTAGTTGCTTATTCCCCTTCCTTTCTTCCGCACATCCCTCGTCACCCCATCCAAGGATTCCATCCCTAGACCCTAGGGATGAATTCCACCCATGACAGTTCCCACTCTTTGTGATCTTTGTACCTCAATACTTCTGACCACTCTCCTCCTAGTTGCTTATTCCCCTTCCTTTCTTCCACACATCCCTCGTCACCCCATCCAAGGATTCCATCCCTAGACCCTAGAGAGAATTCCACCCATGACAGTTCCCACTCTTTGTGATCTTTGTACCTCAATACTTCTGACCACTCTCCTCCTCAAGTATGTGTCATTTGGCTTCAGTGGCCCTGGCCCCTCTGGTGTTGCTCCCAGCCCTATGATCTCTCCTGACTCCTTTGCTGCATCCTCAACATCAGCCTGACTTGTCAGGAGAGCTGGGGACACATGGGGCGTGAGTACAGTCTGCTTCCGAACACAGTCCCTGAATATCGTTCAAGCCTGTCTGAGTCATTTAGTTTTCCAAAATCAGTCTCCTCTGACGATACTGTTTTATAGCCATCCTGTTTTTAACCCATGTTTTTGTTCCTTACCTCACACCTGAGTTTCAGATCTTTAATTTCAAATATGAAACCTACTCTATGCCCTCTCAAAATGAATAAGTCTCATGAGATGCTCATCTTCCTCAGCAACCTGATTCCAGCTCCCTCTTTCTTGCCGGTTGTAGTCATCGCTTTGGGAGTTGTTTTCAATCTTTTTTCTCCTTTTTCCTTTACTCTAACAGAAAGCCTCACAATCCCCTTACCATCTCCATAGCCTCCATGTAAATTCTTTTTTTTTTTTTTTTTTTTTGAGACAGAGCCTCAAGCTGTCCCCCTGGGTAGAGTGCCGTGGCATTACAGCTCACAGCAACCTCCAATTCCTGGGCTCAAGCGAGTCTCTTGCCTCTGCCTCCCAAGTAGCTGGGACCACAGGCGCCCGCCACAACGCCCGGCTATTTTTTGGTTGCAGCCGTCGTTGTTTGGCGGGTCCGGGCTGGGGATTCGAACCCGCCACCTTAGGTGTACGTGGCTGGCGCCTTAGCCGGTTGAGCTATAGGCGCCGAGCCGCCTCCATGTAAATTCTGACCTCTATCACCCCTAGGGAACCCAGGCATGGGTTGTGGAAAAGAATCCCAGTTCTTACCGAGGGAGCCCCAGACAGACTTGCCAGTAGCAGCATCCAGCATGGGCTGTTTGCGGGCTATGTTGACTTTGAGCTGCACAGACTCCACTTGGGTCCCATTGAGCTGGAACAGAAGAAGGGAAGAGGCAGAAGATGGGGGAGGAAAACATTACACAAAAGCAAAGGAGTTATTTTAGGGGTTGCTATCCCGAGAGTAGAATGAACAGGGATCTAAGAATGTAAGTTTTCTGTGTCAATAGGGAGACTTTCTCTGCTAAGAGGAACGAATTTCCTACTGGCTCCCCGTATTTTAAGGAGAGAACATGAGGATGGCAGGAGGGATGGGATGAACGAATCTGGGAAGTCCCAACCTCAGCAACAGCCTGATCTGCTGACTCCATCTTTTCATAGGTGACGAAGGCACAGCTGGGATGAGAGAAAACAGGGTCAGTGGGAGGCCTACAGGCTTTTCTGGACCCAACCTAACTCAGTGCTCACAGGCTGCTGCAGGCAGGGCAGCTCCTTCCCCACGTCCCACACCCCAGGGATCTCCCAGGACTTCTCATCATGCCTTGTCGTGATCCTTACTTTCTGGGTGGGTCCATGGAGAGGTCAATGATGTTTCCAAAGGGAGAGAAGGCCCCACGGAGGAGGGTGGGCGTCATGTCTTCCCCGTACACATAGAGAGTATTACCCTTCCGAGGAGCCCGGCGTTCAGGGAATGAGTCCGACCCTATGGGATTGGGAATCACAGTTGTACAAGACATAGGCCATTTCACACTCTACTTAGCATGACCCATGTAAACCCTAGCTTAGGTCACCTTCCCCTCCAGCTATGATCACTCACTGCGGAAAGGGCCCTCTCGGTCTCGGTCTCGGTCTCGATCTCGGTCTCGATCTCGGTCTCGGTCTCGGTCCCTCTCCCGCTCCCGGTCTCGGTCCCGATCCCTGTCCCGTTCCCGATCTTTATCTCGATCCCGCTCCCGATCTCGGTCTCTGTCCCGGTTCCTCTCATGGCTGCGGTCCCGGCTGCGGCTTCGGGGAGGGGAAGTTGAGGAGCGGGCACTACCACGTTCTTCATAGCCCCAGTCAAAGGTTCGAGGAGGGCCTTCACTAGCCCCTGTGCCCTCTGCCTCTTCTCCATCTGGTCCCAGTTCTCGAAGCCGATCACTGGAAGATACAAAGCTGGAGAAAAGTAGACAGTGAGGATCAAAGTGGGCTTATGCTTCCTCCTCCCAGACCCCGTGGATACTCAACATTCCCTCTGCAGCCCGGTTCCTTCCACTCCAATTCCAAACCTCCCAAGGATGTATGCAATCAAACCCACCACCAAGTGGGCCCAGTCGTACTGCTAACTCTCTAACCTCTCATACAGAGATTTCCTCTGAGGACGTCTGGACGACTGAAAAAGAGACCAAGAATAGTTAAGATAATTCCCAGTTGCCGATATGTGATCCAAAATATGTGGGCCTTTCATCTTCCTCAATCCCCAGCCCTTCAGGGATAGATGATTAGGAACCATTACCTCCTGCAGGTCATCATCAGCAGATATGCTCCTTTGGAACGGCTGAAAAGTGGGGACTGGTCCCTTCTCAGGGTCCTGGAGAGGCGGTAAGGATCTATCTCAGTGTGGGAGCAAAAGTGTTCCTTTTCCCTAATTCTCTTCTTCGCTTTTTTTAAAATTCCATGTATGTTTCTTATTTTTTATAAGTGACCTGACATATACGTATTTATGTAAACCTCTCCTGAATCTGGTGATTTTCAGTCCATTCAACCCACAGGAGTCCTCAAACTTTTTAAACGGGGGGCCAGTTCACTGTCCCTCAGACCGTTGGAGGGCCTGACTATAGTTTAAAGGGATAGGCAGCGGCAGCAAAAACACCTGGCGGGCTGGATTTATGTCCTCGTCGGGCCACATGTGGCCTGTGGGTCAGGCCGTAGTTTGAGGACGCCTGCCTTAGAACAACACATTATAAGAACTCAAATCTAATTTATAGAATTTGTAAGGTAAGAAAAATTCAGAAGTCACCAAACTTTTTCATTTTACAGATAAGAAACCTAAAGCTCACAGCGGTTACAATAATTTGCATTTTCATCCCCTTAAAACTCACCTCCATTTCAACCTGAAGGAATGCCCTCTGAAGTCAAGGGTCCCTGAATAATCTTTCGGCTTGTGCTCACCTTTAACTTCCCCTCTAGGGTTCGAGAACGTTTGAAGCCTGAGTTCTTGGTCTCAGCCTTGATGGCGCTGATGGCTCCTGACTTCACCAGCTGTTTTGCCTGCTCTGTTGCTGTGGCTGTATCTACCACAGGCTGCTCTGATAGTGCTTGAGCAATGAGGGGAAGAGGCATTATGTTGGCTAGGCTATGAGAAAGGAGAGCCTCATGCTGCCCACTTCCAGTCCATCCCCATTTTCCCTGGTACTCACAGCGTTTGACACCACCTTGGCTGGCCGTGCTGCTGCTACTTTGCTTCTTCAAAGCCAGCAATGCTTTTTTCTGTGAATGAGGGTAAGACGAGAGGGGTCAGTGAGGGCCAACTGCTGGCCAGGTCCTCTCCCAAGGCCCTTGGGTACATCACTCTGGGATATTAAAAAAGATGTCCCTGGAGTGGCGCACTGAGATAGCCCTGCCTCTCACATCTGATCCCCCAGATCATGTACAATGCCAATAATACCTAATCTAACCAAACCATGGAATCCAAAGGCTTTCCAGAGACTCACATTTTTGAAGTTGAAGACAAAGATTTCAACCATGGACTTGTGCCCCAGGACATAAACTAAAAGTAAGTATAAGACTGTATGTCTTTTTGAGGGGCTTCATCCAACCAACTCCTGCATGTTTAATGAGATCCAGACATTTTGTAACAAAAACATTCAAAGTCTAATGCATGGCTCCTACCCTCAAGATGCTTTATTTACTGTCTAGTAAATAAAACAACTCGAGTGAACTGCCAAGAATGATTATAAGAAGTGCAGATTACTCATACCTGAAAACAAGTAAGATTTTCTGATTCTTAATGGCTATTAATCTAGGCCCTGCATGGAATCTGCACAATATAGAGAGGAGAAGAGTATTTAGACAAAGAAAACAGGGTGGCAAAGATGCAGAAATAAGAAGGTCTTGAGAACGCATTTTTTTTTTTTTTAAAGACAGAATCTCATTTTGTCGCCCTCGGTAGAACGCCATGGCGTCATAGCTCACAACAATCTCCAACTCTTGGATTTAAGCGATTCTCTTGTCTCAGCCTCCCGAGTAGCTGGGACTACAGGCACCTGCCACAGAGCCTGGCTATTTATTGGTTGTAGTTGGTTGTTATTGTTGTTTGGCAAGCCTGGGCTGGATTTGAACCTGCCAGCTCTGGAGTATGTGGCTGGTGCCCTAGCTGCTAAGCTACAGGTTCAAGAGAACACATATTTTGACAGTAGTGAATAGTTCTATTTGACTAGACAGGAGAGCCAAGCTAAGGTTCTGAGGCTTTGTTATATAAACAATGTGAAACCACTTGTGGGTTTTGAGAAAGAGAGGGAGTAGAGTTTTGTGTTTTCAATGGATCATTTTAGCAGGAGTAAAGAAATCTGTTAAAAAAAAAAAAAAGAGCAGAAACTTGTTGATAGATAGACCTTACAACAGCCTAGGGGACTGTCAGTAAAGCCCCAGCTCTGGAGAATACACAGTAAAGAATTAACAGGAAAAATGACTTCAAAAGAAGAATCAATAAGACTTAGCAAATGTTTGGCTATACAATTAGTGGGAAAGCTGGAGATGAGATTTTGAGTCCAAACGTACAAAAGAACTGAGTGGAGTCAGTCCTACATGGAAGATGGAGAATAGAGAAGAAGGTAATAGCTTCAGTTTTAGGTACCTGAAGTTTATCAGTAAGACAGTGGATGGAACTGGAAAAAACAAACTTTGGGATCACCAGCTCTTAGATGTTATTAAAAATTAGAGAAAGGAAGACTCCATGGGAGACTACACAGAAGAGAGATAACGTCTACACGAAGACTCCGAGAAGCTACACTATGAGGTGATATGTCTCCAGGTATGTGCCAGAAGAATCCCCCCATCCCCTCACACTCACCCCAGGTGTTCTCAGAGTGCAGAGTCTGTGAAAGGTTGGGCCATGCCCACACACACTCCCTCACCTTTTTCTTGAGTTTGTTGAATTTCTTCTGCAGAGCCTCCTCCTCCTCGCTCAGTCCGGGGGGTATCACCAACATGGTGGCTCCTGGTTCAGGGGCAGGGCCCAAGACATCTTTCTCCACTGTCACCACCCAGGGTTCATACGCAGTCCACACTGTGCCCAGCCCCAACCCTCCAGGACTGCCTACTCCTGACTTTAGTCTTTCCCTACCCCTTGCTTAAACCAGGTTGTCATCCATAGCTCCCGCTCTTCAAAATCAACCAGCATCCCTCTTGTCTCGAGGGATCACATACTTCACCGCCTTGGGGTACCACGTGGCCCGGGGAGGGAAAAACACCCCCTCCGTCGCCAAGACGATGGCACCCTATCCCTTTACCCCCTCTGGGGTTAGTAGGGCCAACCGCGGAGTTTGAACAGCAAAGAAGGCAGCAGAATCCGCGCAGCACTCTCAGAGCAACGAAAAGGGGAAGAAGAGAGAAGGGACTCAGAAAAAAGGGCGAAGGGCGAGGCGGAAAAGGCCTTACCTGAGGGGGCGGCAACCAGGCCCCCACCGTCTCGGGCGGCGCCCGCGCTGGCCGCCGACGGCGGGCTCAGAGCGATGACGTAGCGAGAGGCGGAGAACGCGGTAACCAAGGCGGCCAAATGTGCACTTCCGCCCGGCCTTCCACCGGGACAGATCGACCCTCCGCCGCGGTAGTCCACGCTCCCGGCGCGGGTTGTGCCGAAAATCTCCGCCACTTCCGCCCGTATCTGGGCGGGCCTTATTCACGGCGCGTACTCACTGCAGTTCCGGGCTGCTTGGCAGCTGCCGTGGTTCCAAGATGATGGAGACTGAGCGACTCGGTGAGGGGGAGGGGAGTGGAACGGAGTAGTAGGCAAAGAATGACTTTTGACCAATGACCTCTGACCTCTCCCCGTAGTGCTGCCTCCTCCAGATCCCCTGGACCTGCCCCTTCGGGCGGTGGAGGTGGGATGCACAGGGCGCTGGGAGCTATTGAACGTGCCTGGGGCTTCAGAGAGCACAGTGAGTGACTTTTAACCCTAACCTTTGACCCTCATTTAGTCTAAACTTCCACCTTCCTCAGTAGGATCATGTAGCATAACACCTTGCTCTCCTATGCCTGGACACCTGTTGTCCAAGTCCAGACTGGTACTGAACAGACTCCAGCCCAGTGGACCTGCAGTGAGTCTGAGCTCAAGTGAGGACAGATCAGGGAGAACAATACCTTAGCTAGTTTTTCTTTTCTTTTTTTTTTTGAGACAGAACCTCAAGCTATCCCCCTGG